CTCCCTTGGCTGTCACCTTCCGCATTGGAAACATCTCGACGAATCCGGTGAAGTGGCAAGTGACTACCAACACATGTTGATAGCCTCCGCTTGACCGCGGCAGGGGTCCCGTCAAGTCGCAGGCCGCGATCTCCCATGGCCGCGTACTCACGATGGGCTCGAGCAGGCCGGGTGGTCTGCCCCCCCTGGGCTTGCGCTCTTGGCACACTGCGCAGCTACGGACATAACGGCACAGCTGCCCCTTCATGCCCGGCCAGGTAGCAAAACGGCGCAGCTTATGCCACGACTTCGGTGCACTGCCGTGACCGTCCGCATCGTGGTAGTGACGCAACGCTGCCACTCTGAGATCGCGGGGAATCACGGTCTTGAACGACTCACTTGAATCGCTCTCTTCCGGGAAGTAGCGCAGCAGGACGCCGTCCCCATCGATCAGGTAAGATTCCAGCTCACCTGCTTCGATGTCTGACTCCTGGGCGATGGCACTTGGCCCTCTCGGTGTTCCGGAGTGCCGGAGCGTCTTTTCGGCTGTCTGGTCAGGATCCATCTCTTGCCTGAGCCGGTCGAAGATAGCGCGACAAAACGAATCGCTCTGCTGTGCTTCGTACAGTTCCGTTCGGTTGAACGCCGGTCCCAGTGAGGTAATCGCCTCAGCCAGCTGCGCGACGCTGCCACAGTGGGGAGCGGAGCGCGAGGCGGGATTTCCCGTCTCCCGGGGGATGGCTCTGCCTCCGCAGTCTGCTGTCTCGCGCGGCGGGGGATCCACGGGTGCGCGGGAGAGCGCGTCGGCCACCACATTTGTCGTGCCCTTCCGGTACCGAATTCGGTACTCATACTTCTGCAGTGTCAAGGCCCAGCGCGCCAGTCTTCCGGCGGGTTCCTTGATTCGGGAGAGCCACGCGAGGGCCATATGGTCCGTCTCGATCGTGAATTCCGTCCCCTCGACATAATGATCGAACTTCTTAAGAGCAAAAATGATGGCGAGGCATTCGCGCTCACTCACCGTGTAGTTCTTCTCCGCCGGGTTCAGCGCCCGGCTGGCAAATGCCACCGGGCGGATCTCTCCCCCTGTCTCCTGCAAGAGCACCGCGCCGAGTCCCTGGTCGCTGGCGTCCGTCTGGATCGTGAAGGGCCTATTCAGGTCTGGCAGTTTGAGGGATGTTGTACGCGCCAAGGCCTCGGTCAGCTGGAGGAACGCCTCCTCCTGCGGCGCTTCCCAGCTCCAGGGAGCAGCTTTCCTCAGCAACTGCGTGAGGGGTGCCTGCATGGCGGCGCAGTTCGGGATGTAGGCTCGGTAGTATCCTATCATGCCGAGAAAACGGCGCACTCCCCCGACATCGGTAGGGACTGGGAACTCCAAGATCGCCCGCAACTTGTCCGCGTCGGGGGAAACTTTTCCTCTCTCGATCCGGAATCCCAACAAGCTGATCTCAGAAGCTCCAATTTGGGCTTTAGTCGGGTTTAGCGTGAGGCCGGCGATTCATAGTTTGCGCAACACGTCCTCGAGGTGACGAAGGTGGTCCTCGAAAGTTTCCGAGTACACAATGATGTCGTCCAGGTACGCGAGCGCGTGCTGCCACTTGGCATCTCCGAGCACCCCGTCGATCAACCGCTGAAATGTCATCGGTGCACCTGTTAATCCGAACGGCATCCGAGTGAACTCGAACAGGCCTCGGTGACACACGAATGCAATTTTGCTTTCGTCGCCCGGGCTCATCTCCACTTGGAGGTAGCCTTTGCTTGCGCCGAGGGTAGTGAAATACTTCGCCTTCCCCAGATTCGAGATGATTTCTTCGATGCTCAGAAATCGATACGCATCTTTTACGGTCACCGCGTTCAAGCGCCGATAATCGACGCAGAGTCTCGATGTTCCGTTCTTCTTGGGCACCAAAACCACCGGGAATCCCCAGGGTCCTGATGACCGGCAAATGATTCCCGACTTCAGGAGCTCATCGACTGCGGCATCTATCGCTTTTCGCTTCGCCAGGCTCACGGGACGCGGATTGGACTTCCAAGGGCGTGCGTCCCCAGTTTCAATGCGATGTTGCACCTGCTTAGTGCAGCCCGGCTGTTCGGTGAACATTTCGTCAAAGTTGTGCAGCAAAGCCGCCAACCTCTCTCGCTCTGGTCGGGACAGTCCATCGGCATTGGCTAACGGGTGGCCCATTTCGTCGCAGTGCTCGGCGGAGCTGGGAGCTGGGTGACTCATGGGCATAGCGTCGTCGCGGTCGGTTCTTTCCTGTTCTGTCGCTTTTCCCAGCGCTGCCGCCATGGCCCCCATGGAGCGCTCTCGGAAACTTGAAAGGGGCGCATGTGCCCCCTCTCGGTACCCGCCACTTGCCACGTCAATGATGATGCCAGTGTGGGCCAGGAAATCCCGTCCCAGAATGATGGGCACTGTCAGCCCGGCCAAATGGACGAACCGCTGTCTCTGCGCGCGTTGATTCCAACGTACCACGAGACGCACTGCTCCCCTCGAAGTCGTCGACCCACAAGCCAACTGGAAAGTGGTCTCCCCATGCCTCACCCGAACGGACTTCTGTTGGAGATGCCTGAGGGCCTCGTCCCCAATTAGCGACGCACTAGCCCCGCTATCCAGAAGAGCTGCGAACTCCTTTCCCGCCACCGTCAGGGAAATAAATGGGGCCGCGGTGCTTGTCGCTGCTCCGACTCGATACGCCGTCGGCACGCACACGGTCGAAGGGGTGTCGGGGACCCGCTCGTTGGTCGGTTTCGCCGCTGATAACTTTATCGGCGGCCTCCTCCGTTTCCCGGAATCTCCCTTGTGCAGTCGCGCCTATAGTGCCCGATTTCGTGGCACCGAAAGCAGCGGCCTCGCCAACCTGGGATAGGATTCTCCCCAGTGGGACGTCCGATGCGCTCACCCCTTTTTGGCAGCGGGTCGGCGGCAGCCTGCTCCTGGGCTGCAGCGATCCGTGGTGCGCCGGTCGGACGGAATTCCGTCGCGTGGACGGCCGCACTCCCTCCTCGGCGCGATCCTGGCTCCAAGGCGTCATCCGTGAGCTCCCAGGGATTCCCGCTCGGCTCCCCGCTGGCCTCCGCCATTGCGGCCTCCCCCCGTCGATACCCACGTGGCACCGGCCCCTGCCACGCGCATCGGGGTTCGAGCGTGTCGATTGGTGCTGGGGGAAGGTGGTACCTGCGCTCCGCCAGTATGTCGGCCTGAACCCTGTGCGCCTCCTGTGCGAGCTCACTCAGACTTCCGAATGGGCGCCCACGCAGATACCGCGAGAAGGTGGGATGCGCCTGCCTCACCACCCGCTCGACCTGCTCCTGGTTCGTAGCATTCGGATCGGCGATCTGCAGGAGTTCCTGCATTGTCCGCAAGTACTCTCCGATGGGCTCAGCGGGAGCCTGCGTTCTTTCCTCCAGTTCCCTGCGCATTCTTGGCAGGTAGTCTGCCGGCAAGAACTCTTGTCGGAAGAGGGCCGTAAACTCGTCGAGTGTTCCGGCTGACTCGCCCACAAGGCGATGCCACCTGGCTGCTGGGCCTACAAGAGCCACCGGCAGAACTCTGCCTAGCGTCTCCTTCTCTGCCAGGCCGGTAGCCTTCCGATATCGCTGGATTTCCAGCAAGAAGTCGGTCACGCTCAGAGCTCGATCGCTGTGTCCGCTGTACTCCGGCACCGGAATGCGGATGAGGGTTCTTGGCGGCGGTGTTTGCCTCTGCATGCTCTGTAAGGCCTGAGTGAACGCCGCAACCAACGCCGTGGATTCACGGGACATCTCCGTGCTTTGCGGCATAAACACGACCGGCGCTACCGTCGGCGTGTCCGGACTCGGCGCTGCGGTCATCGCCGCGCCGTTCCGCTCCGCCAGCCCCGTCGACGTAGCGACGTCGGCCAAAAACATTAAATCCGTGAGGGCGAAATTACCCGTGGCCTTCTCGAACAGTTGTTTGGACGTACCCTTCCCACTTTCGCAGTGCCGCGGTATAAACTCGCCAACCAGGGGGACCGCCCCGCGTGAACTTCCACGCAGTGTCGTCGACGGACGTTGCGACCGTAATTACGGCTCGCCTGCCCCAACATTGATGCGCCATTTGTAGGAAATCGCGTACCGCCGCCGATTCGCCATTTCCCACGTGGTCCGTCAACAAACCGAGTCCAGCCTGGTTCTTTCACGGGAGCGGGATTCCGCTCCCCGTTTATTCGTACAATAAAATACAACTCTACAAAACACTTGAATCTAAACTACAAATACACGCGAAATTACACAAATATTTACAAACGCACGTTAAGACCAACGCCAAACACAAAGAAGGCCCTTAGGCCTCGCGTCCCGCGATATCCTAGATCCGGTTGCCACCCACTTGCCTGCCAGTGCCTGCGTCTCGGTCTCGTCCGAAGTTCTTAGAGGCCTCTCGCCCCCTGCCCCACCGAGTATCTCTCTCGATGGGCGAGGAGGTTTCTCCTCGCCTGCCACGGGGGCGCCTGCAGCGCCCTCCAGTGGCTAGGAGAGAAAGCGGCGCGTCGGGAGCCGAATTCGAGATCCCAATCGACCCCGCGGCAACACGACCATCTGATCGTGTCGCGGCCAAGATTGGCCGAATGGTTTGATGGGCGCCCTCGTGAATTCACGGTGCGCCATATAGTCAAATACCCTTTGCGTTCTGTAACTGGAAGCCTTCTTTAGGACATTATTTGGTCAACTTACCTACCTTGTTTAAGGTGAAATTTGTTTACCTAACATACTATGGTGATGTTTGTTTGTTGTCTTGTCTTTAGATCCTGCTGCTGCAGCACCTGAACAACACGCGCATGTGCAATCGTCTGCTGGTCCCAGAAGCTGCCGAAGACATCTGGAGTCGTGACACTGAGGTCGCTCTGCATTCCGCCTATGGTACGGCTTTTGATACTTGGGACGACCGGCTTTAATGGATTGTAGTGAGTGTCAGAAACAGTATGTTAATCAATATTTGTTTGCTGCATCCTTCATTATTGCTGCCAAGATGGAGACGGAATTGGAGACGGCCAGGGAGACTACCTGGAGGCTACCCTCAAGTTTAAGCCTGGAGCCTTCGACTGCAGCGTCGTCTGGTCTACCCATTTCAGTCTACACCCGCGGCTAAATATGGGACCTGGTCGTAGCGGTGTGTCAAGAGGTGAGGTAAATCCATTGCACACGGGATGGTTGGTTGTTTGAAATCGCCGTAGTAGTATACCATATTTATTTACATAATGAACGCACTTTTTACAGCGAAGTAGGGATGGGCGAATATTCGGTTATTACGAATAGCCAATCGAATTCTGTTCTATTCGGCATTCACTTCGAATCGAATTTAAGTATTCGACAATATCGAATTATTCGACAATATAGGATTATTCAACCTTTCTAAATACAGTGAAACCCGACTAGATTGAATCAGTTTACATTGAATTATTCTTTATATCGAGAAATTTTTGTGCAGAGTAATGTTACAGTGATAATATATAGCAAAAACTATGGTTGCATCGAACAAAAATAGCAGCCGCTACCGATATATCGAACTGCCAAGAGCGCCGTTTTGCTCTGCAAGCTGGCTTTCCCCCAACGCGAGCGGCCGCATCGGGGGAAAACCAGCTTGCAGAGCACGCTTTTTTTTTCTTGTTTTTTGGGCGGCCGCGTCGATCAGAAGAGAAAATATAGCTAGAGGAGAGAGGGTGCTCCGTGTTCCCCCTCCCCGCTCCGTCTGCAAAAGAGAATTTTTTTTTTTTTCTTCCAAACAATTAACTTGGCTGCCCAGAAAAAAAAAAAAAAAACATGTTTGTTTTGTTAGCTGGCTTCCCCCAACGCAGCCGCCCTGTTGTAGGGGAAAGCCAACTTGCAGAGCAAAACGGCGCTCTGCAGAAAATGCTTCCGCTCGGACGTGCTCCGTGCCTCGGCATAGTTCGGCGCTAATGTGCGAATATAGAAAGCAGCGGCCTCAGCATTTTGGAGTCCGTCGATAGCGTAGAAAAATATTGTTATCGCGGGTGTAATGAAGAAAAAGCAGCAGACGATGCAAGACTACTTCATTGTGTAATATTGCAGCAGAAAGTGAATTTCTGAGAGTCAAATTAAATAAAACTTTTATATTGAATAACCCGCTACATCGAACAGGTAGACGTTTTCTTGCGAGTTCGATATAAACGGGTTTGACTTACTCTGGCTTGGATTTCCGGCCAGGTGGCGCAAGCATCTGACCATTTTGACCATTTCGTGCTCCCAAACACAATACACTTGAAATTAACAACTACAGTACTTCTAATACCAAATAAAGGCAAATATAAAACTATAGTTTAAACCTATCTTGTGGTATTTGTTGCTTCTACTATTCAAACTATTCGATTCAAAATTATTTGGCCAAAATCACTATTCGCTTCGAATTCGATTCGAACCCAAAATCCTCCATTCGCCCATGCCTACTGTATATGCAGTGATGTGATTGCTGCGCCAATTGTGCCAAACTGCGCCAAGGAGCTAACCCTGCTACATCCTGCTACATTTCGCCAAAATATGGCTAATCTGCGCCAAGCCTGCGCCAAATGACCAATTTTGGTAGCCTTTCAAAAACAAAACTAATCTGAGAACCGTAATTGAGCATGCGTGAGCTAGGTGGCACAAGATGCCGCTTGATACAAAGTACCCTGCATCAATCGTCTATTCGGTCTTGCATGATTTTTTCCGCCGTCTCGCGTTTCGCGCTGTCGTCGTCTCGGGAATCTAGTCTCGAGTCTTTTTTTTTTTTTTATTTCTTTAGCGATAGACGCGGGCGTGTGCCGCGCTCCGACATTCGTGTGCCGCGTGCCAGAAATGCCGTCATGCTGTGAAACGCGGCGAGAGTTACTTTGTGAGCTGAAGCGCTCGCGCGACCACAGTGGCCGTGGTTGCGCGACGTCGTGTGTTGCCGTCCCCACGTCGCTGCAAATATGGCGCTTTCTATAAACTGAAACGCATCGACATTCCTGCTCTTGTTTAAATCATACGCTGCTATAAAAATCCCTCTAACTCAATGAATGCTTGGCGAAGTTTTGATTACCTAGGTTTCTCTCGGTGGGCTTTCTTTCGAGTGGGACCCCGGTACTTGAAAAATCTGCCGTGAAAGAAAGTTGATGACGAGAAGTGGGCTAAAGCAAAGAAGGCAATGTCTGCACGCTGAACCCGCACACCGCGCTTGTTTGTCTCGAGTTCAGTCGTTGCACAAAGCGCTCCAACTGCTTTTGGACACGCAATGTCTTGCATCGATACGCTCAGGTTCTTTTTTTCTGGGTGTTTAGCCTGTACCTCGCGTGCCGGCCTGGCAAGAACGCACTGTTGGACTGTTTACTGTCGTATGCTGGACAGTTACATTTTGCATACTATTTTGGGAACCAGTTCGCGACGGAGCGGAGTGGCATGGTTTCGGTTCCGGTCGAACAGCCTTGTCTCCGCTCGCGCGACGAAACACGTGTAACTGAAAGCCTGCCGAAGTTGCCCTCACGTGCATGTGAACATGATTGCACGAGAGGCACCAGCCGGGACGCTTGCAATTCATTGTTTTACGTTTGCTTACTTTTTATAAAAATCTGCCGCGTCGGGAATCAGTAAAACGATAGCAAGTGTTGCTGCTTTTTTTGTTTTTTTTTGGAATCGCTTGGCAACGCCTACAGCACTGTATAGTCGTGGGATGTCTCAGCTGCAAAAACAGAAGCAGCGAGTTCCGCCCCAACACGTCAGAACAAAACACAAAGTGCCCTTCGTTTGTCCAGCACTTAAAACAAATATTTATTTTTCTAAGAATATATGCTCCAAACGCCACTTTTTTCTGCTCCGAAACACTGTTTTGGCGGCTCCAAAAGCCACTTTTGCTGCTCCAAAACACTGCTTTGGCTGCTCCAAAGGCTATATTTGCTGCTCCAAAACACTGTTTTGGCTGCTCCAAAAGGTGCTCCAAGATGGCTTAGGCCAATCACATCACTGTATATGGTTATGGTTCCGTGGATTTTTCATGTGTGCCGGCAAAAACTTCCTGCGCCCTCTCTTTGTCGTGGTTCCAAGTGCTTGCGTGCCTAGTTTCCTTCTGCTCTCCCCGGGTGGCGGTCCCGCCGTGCGTGTCTAGTTTCCTCTGGCTTTTTGGGGCAGTGATAGTCGTCCATGTGAATTTATATAAAAAACCAGAAAGACAAGTTGCCGTTCTCCATTTTCAATTTCACTTTTTTTCTGTCGTCGTAATGGGGAAAGAGCAACGGCGGGAACGGCAACGAGAATGTCAGTGTCGGCGGCGGGTGGCAAGCACCACTGATGAAGATTGTGCCTAAATGTGTTAGTAATTGTTCAAAATTCTGTCACATCTGTGTCATGTGCTAAACAGCTTTGCTGGTCATCCACCTTTACAAAGTGAAATGGCTCATGATTTTTTTCCAGAAAATTGACTCAGATTTGGGGGGTGCTTTTATTACATGGGGTAAAAGTTTTGCATTTACACTCTTTGCACAAATGTTATTTTAGGGGCTATTGAGATACCCCAGGGTACTGTGGCACGTCTCCACTGATGGAGGCGCACCCACGGCTGGTCGTGGGTGCTCCACAGTAACCGCGCTCTAAAAATAGCAAACCTTTTTTAGGGCACTTCCAGCAAAAGCGCCAGCAAAGCTCACTCGGCACGGAGAGCGGCGCGATCGTTCTGAGGCCTAACCACTTTCACGATTTCACTCTCCGAAAGCAGACCACCGACGATGGCGTGTTTGTTGAAATCAGTGCATCCAATGGGCGAAGCATGTCCGAGGCTGGGTAATTCCTCGACCCCGGCTTCATTAGATTTGCGCGCCGCTCGATTACGGTAGAATGTTTGTTAAAATTTATTCTCTGGCACTTTCAGTACATAAACATTGTATCTCGTGTTAGCAAAAAACGTACTTCGTGGGCTTTGTCACTGCTTCCATAGACTTGCCCTTGTACTATATCTCTGCTCGTTTGCATGCAAAGTGTTACAACCATATTAACATTTTGCTTATTGATGTTTAAACCGTGAGCTCCTGAAGTTCAGAGGCAGCATTTTGTCATTGTATAACAGGTGTGGATCTGCACAGAATTCCATTTGTTCGTAATGCTTTCCTGGATTTGTGGTCTTAGCTCGGGACAGTAGTACTGGTGGCTAGGTTTACGATGGGCCAGCTGAACAAAGATTACGCCACTTACAAAAAACACCATTCACACTGCTAGATTGTTTTCCGTTGCGCGTGGTGTAATCTTTGTTCAACTGGCCCATCGTAAGCAGTGAACCAACTTGCTCTTGTGGCTAGGGTTGTGCAAATATTTAAATTTTCAAAAAGTAGTCTCGAATACAAAAGACGCAGTTCGTAACTCGCTTCGAGACGAGCTGTGATGTTTGTAATGCTTCCCCGGATGTTTCCAGTTCATGCCTTTGGTTGGTGGCAAGCACTTTGAACCGATAAATAAATATATCTTCACCGTTCACCAGGTTTACAAGCACTGCGGGCTGTTTTGACTGGATTCTCGGTGAACAACCGGAAGAACATGTTCGTCTACCAGGAGAACTCCGGCCCCGTGTTCTATCTGCGGTGAGTGTATTGTACAGTGTCTTCGAGCGACGGTGATCTCTCCTTTTTAACTTCTAGCCTTTGTAATCTAATATCAAGAGAGCCCTGACAACAAGAGAGCCTTGTAGTACCGTATTCACATGATTGTAGGTCGACCACTCTTATTTTTTTTTAATATGAACTTGGAGTGGGGGGGGGGGAGGGGTCGATTTATAATTGAAACCAAAGCATTCCACCGCTAATGAAGCCGAAACAGCTGCGATAACTAGAACACCTCGCTTCACTGTGTGCTCAGCTGGCTGTGCCTATAGCATTGCACCATTCTGTGCACTCGTTTTTCAATTACTCTTTTTTTATCTGCACGAACGGGCATCTGTAATGCAATTTGCATATTGGCACAAAATGCGCAGAGTACGCCGTGACAATCGTTGCAGGGAACGAACAGGTGTGCGCTCAGTCTTGGGGGAGGGGTGGCGACAGTTGATGAAGTCGTGCCGAAGCGACCAGTGAAACAACCTCTGATCGCAGTGTCGTGCGTCCTTCGAAGGTTATGGAAACGAGAAACGCCGCTTCAGATGGTGCTGGGCCACGTTTTTCTGTATTGCTGTGCATGGTCTGGGCGATCTACGGTTTTGGCATTCGTTTACGGCCATTCTTTGTGCAAAAGCAACTACCAACTGCACTGCTGGATGCAAGTTTAACGTGTCGAAGCAGGCGTTGTGCCAGTGGCGTCTGAAAAAAAGCACACAATCTTTGACAGCAAACATAGAAGTTTTCACGGGCTAAAATCTGGATGCTTTCAGAAGTTCAAGCTTGCAACGCACGTTGCAGAAATGCACAACCGGTCCCTTCCCATGATGTGTGACACAATCACTAAACAGGTGCGCAAGATGTGGTTATCCATAAAGTGCAGGGGATTTCGTTAGACGGCTACGTGCTTAGGGAATGTATGTTACAGCGATGATGACGGGAACAACAGCACCCATGAGGACAAATCATAATTTAACAATTAATAAATGTTTGCCACAAAATGCACCCTAAAGTATAATTTGTTTTCTTTTGCTGACATCCAACCTGGGGTAGTCGTCTTACAATCATGTAGATACGGCACTACACATTTTTGGATGGACCATGTTGGTTTATTTAGCCAATTTTCTGTTATTAGAACTTGCTCTTTGCTAAATGGTTAATAGGACATTGTAGCAAGGGATACATACTGTAATATCCCAAGAGATGCCCCATCCCCGAAAGATAACCCGCCCCCTTTTTTTTGGCCCGATTTGCTATATTTCCAAAAACACCGAAAGATAGCCCTACTAGAAGTGGGCTATCTTTCAGTGTTTTTGGAAATATATAGGGGTGTGCGAATACTCGAATATACAAATTCGAATCGAATAGAAAGATCCCGAATAATTCGATTCGCGAATCGAATTCCTAGTATTCGGTCACTCGAATATTCGATATATTCGGCCAAAGACGCGCGGGTCGGCGCGGAGCTGACAAAAAGCCGTTTTTTCTCCCGATGTAAGCGCCGTGATATTAGACAGACCATGCGAGAAACACCTCTTGATCCTACCATTCCACAAAAATCTAACGCACAGGTTAGAAAAAAAAAGTAACGAACGCCACGAACTTTATAGCACGCAGATTTACTCACTATCGTGACACAATCTTCCATTGAATCACAACCGAAACAGAGAAGCCGGAATTCCGCGCCATGCCGAATTCATTTGACGAGTAAAGCCCCTCGTTTCAAATTGAAGCGCCGATGTAGAACACACTTGCCGCATTCACAGAAATCGGCGACTGCACGATCACACAAAGAAAACTACGTTAACCACGCCGATGAAACCAGCCGAGTTATCGTCGTCGTTCTTTGGAACCGCAAGCGCCGAAAGCCCTGATTCGGAACGAAACGGAACGGAAAAATAGTGTGCCTAGATTTGAGAGGGTTTCCAACCGTTCAATAGCCGCACTTGAATTTTGAACTGCGAGAAGGTGACGAAAAGACGAAAGCGTCAATCGGGATCGGGATCGGGCAGGCAGGGCAAGCGTCGTCGCTTTTTTGTTTGCTCGCCCTCTTTCCACGCGACAACACAACACATGCGCACTTACGACCAATCTGCGCTGGAGCCGTCTCCGTAATTTCAGTTTCGCTTGCTTCCTCTTTTAAATCAAGGCTCTCTAAAACAGGAGAGATACGACGGAAAAATGGATGCATAGAGTCAGTCGGACGGTGACTTGCGCCACCTAACCACGTTTTGTTTTCTTGCTTCAGATTATATTGTTTAAGCCTGTTTACTCAGATTTAACACCTATATGTTTATTTATGGGAAATAAAATCCCCGGTGTCCTTTTTCTTCCTTAAAATGGAGACCAAATATCGCAAAATGCCCCTTTTCTGAGATACACAAATATATATAAAAAAAAAAGTCGCGGTGTTAAATTGTGCTTTTAACGAGAAAAAAAAAAGGCACGCATGGCTGTAACTTTTCTTGTTTTTCTTTTCTGTGTGTGACATTTAGGGTAGATAGATTATGTTTGCGCCATAAAATTGGATCTTTAGTGCCCAACGTCCAACAGCAACTGCTTTTTTTTTTTCACCAGAACTTTTTTACATTTTTGCTATTGTTCTGTACAAGATGCATATTCTACACCAGGCGCATACTCTGCACATATATAGTCTCATTCGCAGCACACTTTGAGAAATTCCTACAAATAAAATCACTATTCGATATTCGATTCGATATTCGGCTTTTTTTTCTTGATTCGATTTGGTATTCGATTCGAGAACTACTATTCGGTATTCGCACACCCCTAGAAATATAGCAAATAGTAATTGCAGTAAATTCTAGTAATTGCAGGGCCTTGTCCAATGACCTCGGCAGAAATGGCGTTAGTTAGCCATGGCAGGATATAGGTGAACATTGCTGACTGAGAAGGACAGTCATCTTTGGTTCATCGCCCCTCCCCTGTGATCACAAGTTCCGTGGGTCACAAAATTTTAAACTAGCATTTTTTTCAACTTTTTTTTATTGCACATTGAAAGTTAGTCCACTTCTTATCTTCACCCCGATTAACTTTCGATTGTTTTGGCGGGCTATTTCTCGGGATATTACGGTAGTCAGGTGCAAATAATGCATTTGAGTTCGAAGTGAATTTAAAGCGAATAGTGGTCTTGGCCGCATATTTTCGAATCGAATATCAAATAGTTTCTCAAAGCCTTTCAGCACTGTTTCATCATGTGTGAACAAAAACCCAGCTAAACTCTTAAAGGTTGTTCAGAAGCCTCCACTTGTCCATTTCTAAGCTAATTTTAATCTAACTATATTTATGGTCTGTGACCTCAGAAAGTATGATGCCTTGGGATGGCAAGTAAACGACGTATTTGGCATAAAAGTAAATCTATAAGAATACCAGCTATGCCTTGCTATCTTGTTATATGCAAATATTCGTTCTTCAACTTCGAAGAAAAAAAAAAAAAAGAACTTCAAATTATGAACACAGGTTGTCAGGGCATTTCTGCCTAACATATAGTACTCTTGCATAACAGTCAAAGTTTAATTTTGAAAATTTTGCTGTTGTGTGGATATCAACATTCACAGAGTTTCTGTTTCTTTTATATACTCCAGGCATGTGTGCACCATCCTGCTTTGAAAGTGTGCTTTTTTCCCAAGCACGTAATACGACATTCATACTTTTCGAAGTGATCACGGCAAGTTACTCCACTGAGTGTGCTTCTTAGCAAGCACCAGTGCGCTGCAGAGAAGCAACACTCGCAGAGCTTACGTTTGCGGGTGTTGCTTCTCAGCAAAGCACCTGTGCTCGGTAGGAAGTGCACTCAACGGGGCTAACCCGTTGCGGTCAACACTTCGAAAAATATGAATATCGCAGTTCACCTCAAGGCGAATATTGAATTGTGTATTATTCAGAACTACTCTTCAAAATTTTGAATATTTTCATAACTATAGAGATTAACAGTTGGTGAGAGGTTAAGGGAACAGGGTAGGCCCTATTCCTCCCATGTGTTTCAGCCTATGTATGTGACCCTTTTTCTCAGGATCTGCTAGGGTTAGAGGATTCATGTTGGCATCATTGAATTTAGCTTTCTGTGTTCTCTTTACTGAACTAGATGTATTGTTATACATATTTTAGTTCTTTTTTGCTTTTGTTTTTACTGGACCCTCCTAATTTTAATGCCAAAATAGACAATAAACAGCTTGTCAAACAAAATTGCCTTGATTAATTTCCATAATTCTAGTTCAGTAGACTCCCCCTTGTGTTGTCTTGTTAGCGGAAAAAAATAATACTTCTAGTTTTTATGGTTTCAGAGAAAAAGGGTCAAACGTTGCAAAAAAATGATGTTTTGAGATAATCGACTTTGAAGTGAAAAAAGGCGCTTTATAATAAACTTGCACTCTAGAAATGCATGCTGATGTATCCGTTCGGTAGCCACCAGCCAGGCTGTCACCTCCATAGTCAATATTTAGTTTCGTTGTTTGCTGTCTTGCTTTGTGGGCCTCTTTCGTGACGAGCTGTGTAGCCCTGTCTGCCAAGTAAAGTCTTCGCCAGTCAACGCCGCGCAACCACTGCACCATGAATCATCCTGGTAAAACGCCAAGTAAAGGCTCGAAGTTGTCCGTTTTGACGTCTCTCTAATCAGTGTGTCCAACAGCACTTTTCACAGTTCAGAAAGTAGGTGCAGGCGACGCCAGCTCTTAGTGCTGCTTTTTCAACCAGCTGCAAGTCCCCACCGCACACTTTGCACACCCAGCTTTCGGCGACGGTACAGGACAGAAGGTCGATGTCGATCAGTGCACAGTTGCAGTCACTAACACTTGCCTTGAGCTCTTCAAAGCATGCTGCCGAGTGCGACAGCTTCGAAGAAGACGCACACGTGGTAGCCGCTGCGTCAGGCATCAGAATGCGTTGGGGGGACTCGGCGGCATAAGAAATTGACCTATGCCGACTACTCTGGAAGCGACGCTTCTAAAATATCTTTTTCGTATTTCGTCATGTTTAACATTCCAAATCTAGTGTTAAAGTAAACAATAAATTACCTTGCCCGTGGAAGCATGCCGAACCAGAAGCAAAAGTATGCACGTCGCGACTGATGCCGGCAGTGTCCGAGGATTTATGGGGCTAAAGATGTAAAAGCTAGACAGCTTTTTGATGTTGCTGGACGAGCAATAAACATTCTGCTAAACCTAGTGAAAATCTTCGTTTTTTTTTTACGTTTTTTTTTTACAACATAGGAGAGATACAGATCGTGCATAGGTGTAAAAGGGGGCGTGGTCGGTCACCACCTAGGTTTCGGAAAAGGTCATTTTTCGTGTAGATAAATCGCGCACGCTCAAATTACACAGTCAGCATTGTTCAGGAAAGACTGGGGAATCCAAATCCCTAAAAAACAAAAACTCAATTTTTTTCAAAATTTTGCCCTACCCTGTTCCCTTAAGAACCGAGTACGCTCCACCTCTAGCATGCGCTCACGCATACGTCTAAGTGCTGTTAAAGGCATAAAGTTTGCGCTGCAGACAGAGCATCTACTGAGTTATTAACCTGTCACCAACTGTAGGTGTATGTACTATGCTTGGAACAAACTGTAGTAGACTATTGGGATGCATTAGGTGTCATAAAAACCTACATTGATCGTGTTGTTGCTTTTTTACCTTGCAGGCTTCACGAGACGCAGTGCCACAAGCGGCACGGTCGGGCAGACGATGATATATCCCTCTCAGGTTCGACACTGCGTTTCGATGATTCTAGAGAAATTGAATTCAAACTTGAAACTCAAGCTTTGCTGTATATACACAACTCTATGCACACTCTGTTCTCCCAAGTCAGGACTTAGAAAACAAGTTCGTTGGTGAATGGCATGCCTTGAATGTGAGCACTGCTCGCTTTTTCCTTATTGTCATCATTTGGAAAGAAAAAGGTTCCTTAGCACCATTTTAGTTTTTTAGTTGCGATGAAACCCTCCATATGGCTTAACACCTAATTTGTGTAATTGCTTTTGATTTTATGTTTTCTTCATCAACTGTGCTTGTTACACAGTTAAAGCCTGGGTAGCGCTTTCACTATGTCCATTCTAGAACCATACATAATCGTGATGTAAAACACTTAGCCTTCGCAAGTCCATTTTTTTTTTCTCTCAAACTTAATTGATCGTGCAAATCGCTAAATTTTTTAAGTTTAAAGGCTTTTTTAAATTCAGTGTAACGGTAATTTTTGAGATCGGAGTGGGAGAGAGAACACAGTAGGGGAGACTTCACTGGGACAACTAAGACAAAAATTTAACTGGATTGGGATTACGTATAACCAACATGTACATAAATCTGAGAATTTCCCCACCTTTTCTGGACGGTCGTGTCTTTCAGGCTCGAGAAGCTCCTCGCTCGTCAGCCTCGTACAAAAGAAGCCAGGCGCGGATCAGGAGGAGGAATTCGTAAGCACCTTTTCTCGAACTTTTGCGGGCGCAGATCTTGCGGCGTGTTCTCCAGAACCTCCGTTCCTCGACTCGCAGGACTTCCGTCCCCGCCTGAGTTCGGGGGCACTCGGACCGAGACCAGTCGCATGACACAGTCAGCGTGACTTCGCACGCTTCCGGCAGCCGCAGCAAGCCCCAGCAGTGCGTGGTCATGCACGTCCACGGAATCGTGCAGCCAGGCGAGTGTCACAACGTTGTCTGCGTTATGCAGCTGTTTACGGCGACTCCAGTTCGTAACGCCTACAGTCGCCGATAAGACGAGACTGTTGGGGTACCTCGTTCGATCGCACGGCTTCCAGCACATGCGAGTTGCACTCCTACATGCTTTAGCCACTTGTGCACACTCAATCCTCACGAAGCATTAACTAAGGTAGGGAGGCGGGGCAACTGAAACCGAAACCCCTCTGCCATTTTCATTCTATCAGTGACTCTAGGTGCAAGCGGTGTGTGTTCAGAAGCATACTTTGCACTCTCTGGTTGGGGCTGAATGTCTTCAACGGCCAAGAGAAGCCATAAGGCAGATTTCAGTCGCGTTGTAACAGTCGCCTCCTCTATTTTCTCTGGATTGGTTGTAATGTGTCGCTTGCTAGCATTTGAATCGGTTGTATAGATGCGGGCTTTGTCTTTCTGATGATACAAATGTAATGCATTATGGGATTGTGAGTTGGTGGGATGGTGTCATGCGTACAATGGAGCCCAATGCGTAATAGTCTCGCTTATAATCGTAATCGTAATCTTTATTGGCTCAGGAGAGCCGTGGCAACCGCGGAAAGGCGACAGCCCGTACCACGGAGACTTGCGGTGCCACGTCTAGTGATGATGATTATGAGACGATACATACAAGGGGGGGACGACGCAGTCTTCTCAACATCGCAAGTACCGTTGCTTGAAGGTTCGGGGTTTGCCAAGACACTTCTGTCAGCTGTAAGAAGTGTCTTGGCAAAGGGTTGTGTCCGGAAACTTCACTGTGCGTTGCAGCTGGGAAAGCCTTGGCGGTTTGATGGTGATGAGGACGACGTGCTCTTCTGATTCACCGCACGAGTTTTGGAGGTTTGGCAACGGTTCAGGCCAGTAGGCAAGCGAGCCAAGGTGATCTTTGGTAGGCTGTTCAATGGACGTTCTGGAGGGTAAAGCGCTGGCGGTTGATGGTGCACTCGCTCGCTTCGTTGAAGGCAGCGTCTCCAGGTGGTGGCCGAGTCAAAGTAGACGGTTGCCACCCCCGATACATTGACGTCCAGGGCTAGAACGTAGCGCCGCAATCACCCGGTGTAGCTTCCTGGAAATAAAGGCAATAAACTGCCTTTATTAAACCAGGTTACAAGCTCATGCTTTGATGTGCTTTTACTGTATATAAATACTGGTCACTCAAGAGGCTCCCTGTATAAAAAGCATGTTTTAGGAAGTAAAGGTGCTTCTTATAAGCGGGTTTGACTACGGAGCGCATAACAGGCGCCGACCTAGTAGCCAACAGGGCAGGGTTGGGCAGTATCGCAATACAAATGTATCGCGATAGTATTTCAGAAATACATTTCGTATCTGTATTTCTGTATCGCGATACAATTTTTTCACCAGTATCTGTATTCCTGTGTCGAAACACATTTTGGAATGTTTTTTGTATCGCGAAACAATCAGGATGAAATGTATTTCGTTACATTTCTTGAGAAATACTCTCCCCCCCCCCCCCCCAAAATCGAAAAAAAAAAAAAAAAAAAAAACAAGTCCGAACTCATATTTTTTTATTTGTTTTTACTTCTCAGGGTATCAGGGTTAAGGAGATGCTGGGGCATTGTTGCTATGCTGACCAAGGTTCCTTCTGATTCTCCAAACTATTTTTCTATGCGTCCTCTTCTCAATTCTGAGAAGTGTTGCGTAGTTGGGAACTTGAACCAGGTGGCGTGCCAAAAGTGCAGTCAGAGCATCTTCCGCCGCAGGTCCTTAGCTAGGGATTTCTTGAGTTATTGTTTGCTGGCATCCAATGTGCGCTTATAAATGTATCTTTGCCTTAGCGTACACAGTGCACCCATGGGCGATTTGAAGGTGAACAGTCCTCTTCTTGTTTTTGACGCTCCTGCAAGTTTTAGAACAAGCTCTGTTCAAGAAGAGGACTAGAACGCAAAGTTTAGACCTCAAGGCACGTACCATTTGAGACGTTGCGAGTTCATATAGCTTTAGGGAGCCGTAAAACAGGCAAGAAACCAGGTAAGGTGTTCACCTCTATATTGCCGGTGGGTGTACACCACTGTTGCAGCACGAGCCTGATGGTGGTTTCCTTGAAATAGTAGGATGACTCATGCAGTGAAGTTCAACACATATTCGAATGCGTCTGCGGCTACGCCAGTAATATTGCACGGCTCAAGGGTACGTTATCAGCCGACATGAACGTGACCCACTGCTCTGCATGGGGTCTGAAACCTAGGAAGGAGGCCAGACGTGGCCTCGCTGTGCCGACCCAGACTTCGTATACCTGCGACTCGTCTCGAGTGCGCTGTTTCTCGGAAAGCTCGGCAATATCAGGTCGCAATTCACGGGGTCTCTGTTTGGGTGATACTAGGCGAAACTTGAGGACTGCAATCCATAGGTCAGTGGCGGAGGGTCTACAGGAAGGACCTTCACAAGAGGGATGCCATATTATCTTTTTTTCCACCGTAATAGAAGATGAGAAACATTCCAGGATGCTTCAGGTGGTCCACTATTCTTGAAAATTCCAAATGACACTCACTGCCTGCACAATCTTCAACGAGGTCACCTACAACGAAAGTACCTATTGTACTTTCATACAGCAGCGTGGTAAAGTTTAACGTTCAAGGACACACCTACAGATAAAGAATACCAGTTTATTCCACCGTGACGTCATGTGATCAATGTTGGCAGGGACGTCCCTATTGGACAGGGGCGTGGTGACGTTTTGATGGGATTTAGGGTGACAGAATTTATTTAGAGGTCGAAGTCTTTTCACATCCCTCGTCGGACAGACAGGATGTCAGGGAAGGGACTGCGGTCAGTCCTTGATGGAACGTTTTCTTGAGCCCATTGAAGGCTCCTTGTCGTCCAAAACCACTACCTTCAAGGCAAAGTGCAAGCCTACTGGAAAGTAATTTTGGGATAAAAAACTTCCACTTCAAACTTCAAGCTTCATCTCAGTTGACGTCTCTAACAAATGTGAAAAATGTATTCCAGTATCAGTATTTCTGTATTTGTATTTCTGCCCTCCCTAAAATGTATTCCTGTATTTGTATTTCTAAATACCTTTTGCCACTATTAGAAATGTATTTCTGATATGAATCGCGATACATTTTTACAGATGTATTTTAGTATCAGTATTTTGGCTACTTTTTTTAATGCATCTCAGTATTTGTATTTCCAAATACATTTTTTAGTATTTCTGCCCAACCCTGCAACAGGGAAACTCTTTTAACATGAGCATCATGGGCTGTAACATGCACACATAAACTAACTATAGTGTCTCATTTACTAGGCAATTACTAGTGTTGATAATGGGGCTAGTTGGTAATCCATAACAGCAAGTTCAGCGCAAAAGACGAGGACAAGGAAAGGACGTAATCAAGCATCGCGTGTGCGTCCCTTTTAGACTTGTATCTTTTATCTGTAAACTAGAGAGTTTTAGCTGTTCTAAAACCATTCTCCTGACCACTAAGCTCTTGGTAGCACAACATGAGTCAAACATTCCTTACTTGTATGGGACAATTATTGGTGTCGAGGAGCCATTTTTATCTGAAAATGGCTTCAGTAATTGAGCAGCTCGACATTGTTGATGCGCAGTCCCAGGATGCGGCAGCCAGCCAAAACCTCCCGCTCATATTTCAGGCTTGGTTTAGAATCTAGATCCTAGAAGGTGGTACATATTTTAGAATTTTTGTCTTTTGCAGTTTTGCCATCAAGGAGGAGCTGGTGTCGGTAATGCAGAACAAACTCGACGATGCGGTCCTCGAAGTGTTGACGACCACATTGGGGCGGAATCGCTCGTGCAACCTCACGCTGGACGATGTCCAGGTTGGAATCTTACCCTCCCCTTTAAGTTGGCACAATTCATTGTCTTGCTTCAGCTCGTCATCAGCTCTTCAGCTTGAAATTCCTTCTGACACGCTTTAAACGGAATTACCATGAAATAGCGATCAAGTGTTCGTCTATAAGTTGGAAATAATAGATAAAAATTGGGATAGGTGCTTGTTAGTATGTTTGAGAGTAGAAAAGTGGAAAGGGGCACATGGTTGTGTAGGCTCTTGTTTTAACTGATGAAACGCTATGGGCCTCGAGATTGAGCTAGAGGTGGCGCTACGGTCGCGCTATCATCATCATCAAAGCGGGGATAGGAGAACGGCCGCCCCATAGGCTCTCCACCGTTCGCGCGCGAGATGGCGTATATTCTTGCGTTTATTTTGTCGCATACTATCGGTGGGAAAACAATTCTAGCGGAAAAGGATGCGGTACTGTTCGGTGCTTCAGTGAAGATCGAATCGTGTTGCCAGCGTGCGACCTAAATTTATATAATCGCTTGTGTGGGTGCGTCGTCTGCTCTAGGCAGACGTTGGAAAGCATGGATCACCACGACTGATGCCTGTCTCTGGCTGAACTAGAGTATTTATGTTAAATACTTGTTTCTTTTAAAATGGATGTATCGGTTCATCAACATGGCAATGAAAAAAAAAAAAAAAAATTCCAACCCAGATGACATAATACTGGTACTGTGGGCTGTGAAATCGCAGCTTCTATGTTTTTTCTAACTTCTAGCTCTTGCAGTAATATAAATATTTAGAATGAAGATAAGTTAGCGCTGTATTGGAAATTACCATGCTATTGAGTTCCTCTGCCCTTTCACTGTGCCATAGTGTGGGTAAGTTTTTTGGAGGTGAACAAATCTACTGCGTTGCGATGAAAAGAGTGTGTCTCTTCTAGGTTAAGATCTGCAAACTGCACGGTTGGCACGACAACTGAAACAAGTGAAACAAACTGTTCTAATATATCTGCCGTGACTGTAATAAACGAGTGTAACCGAGATGCTTTTCTCGGGAGTGTGGGATCACCCGCTTCAATTTTCTTCGTGAGGGCCGCGAATGTGAAGAGGCTAATACTATACATTTATGGCTAAATAATCTTGTATTCCAACACAGTAGACTCTGAAACCCCAACAAACGACGCGCCCCACGACACAGACAGCAACAGTCGAAGTGATACTCTTTTACTGATGAGGGCTAGCGACCTTCACGAGACTTTCCGATCACCCTCCGCCCTCATCTAACGTATATCGGAACTGGGCAGTTCATCGATTAACTTTCAGATTATTGAAGTGATGCTTTCATTGCAATTTTTTTGTCGGTTAATTGGAGTCTTGTGCTGGAGAAAGTCAACAAGGAGTAAAAAATGCCTGCTTTAATATTTTTGACGTCTTTATTTCTTTTGTGACACAGGCTTGCACGGTAAACCACTTCAGCATGCTTGTCATTTCACCGAGGGTGATTATACTGTTTAAATAATAACTTAAAAAATACTTCATTTTAAAAGGCTTCCCGTGTTGATATGTATGTAGGACTCAGAACGTGAAGTTTAGAATGGGAATGCAATATGCCATTTATGACATAGTAAAACCAGTAAAATAAATGTGTTGTTTTAACGTCTTTTACGCAATATGACAGGCGAAAAATCAACATACGGATTTATTGATTGATTAGTCTATTAAAGGTTAGCGATCAGTCGAGTTAATTTTCTAATCAAACCACAGACCCACTAAACATTCAATGCTTTATGAAAGCCACGGTTTGTGCGAGATAACAAAAATACGTGGGATTTTTTTTATGGAAGCTTCCGACTTAATAATAATCGTTTTGCTGAATTTCTACGCATGGGAAACGATACAACACAACCTTTAGTAAGAAGAGACGGCAACAAAAACAAAAACATTTAATAAGGAATCTCAAGCTCAGCCTGAAACCGGCTTGCGTCGTCGAGATCCATGCTTCTGAACGTGCGCCCGTAGCAGACGACGCACGGCGGTATCCCCGCTTTCGCGCGTTTCCAATTTCGTCCGCACGGGTGGCGACACGGTTCGATCTCGAGGCGAATAACAGTGGGGGGTGTCTGGCAGAAGCTCTAATCTTTAAGGTAGCCACGCTGCTCGAGTCAAACCTGCTTTGCGCCAGTGGTCTCTCATCAAGATTTGCCACCTTGCACCGGCGCATGTACGTAAAACTTTACTGCCTTGAACCGGATTCTGGCAAAAGCAACTGACGTGAAGAAATAGCTCGGTTAGCTCAGAAGTTTGTTGAGGTGTATGCTTGATATGTCCTTTGCCTATATTTCAAATGTGGGGGTGGGCGCTTATTGCGACATGGGTGCATGCTTCATATTTTACGGGTAGGACAAAGTGCTTTCTTTCGGAATGCGGAAGCTTCAGAATTTAGTCTTTCTTTTGAACGTGGAGACAGGGTGTTCCAAAAAATGTGCGGGGTTCTTTTTACCGTAAAAATAAAATTATGTGTGGACACCCTCCTTTGAGAGATTGTATATTCCGTTTTTCTGGCTAAATATCTAACATAAGAATTTCGAAACATCGCCCATTCCTCGATTCCTGTCGGATGTCACGCAATGTCGGATTGGAATCGCATCAACCGCACGATGTGTGGTACCTGTACTTGTGACAAGCGACTTCATAGCGTGTTCCTCCGTTTTTTTGTCCGCGATCTGCATGCATGATATCGGTTCCCGTAACAAGCAAGTTGTTCCCTCGTGTATATATTGCATTCTGAAATGCGAATTTGCCGCGTCTGCGATCTGCGGTGTCCGTTCCCGTGACATGCGAGTGTGTAGCAGATTCCCGCGTTTTTGTCTGCAACCTGCACGCGTGGTTTCGGTCCCTGTGATAGGCAAGTTCGTAGCAGGTTCCCGCGTGTTTATTGCATCGTGCAATTTGAATCTGCGGTATCAGTTCCCCTTATCACGTGGTTTGTAGCGGGTGCCCCGGTGTTTATCCCAAATCTTTTTATAAAGTTTTCTTGTGACATTGTTAAAGATAGCCTGTCCCATGTTTTTCACTATTTATCTCTTAATTTTGGTCGGGCATTGTTACAGGATTTTATGCTATGCATCACCAACTGCTCATTCTCCGCCAAAATGTAACACTAGCAGTCTGAACCTGATGCCAAAGTTCCAGAGCCATCTGTTACTTTGGTAAAAAGTTATAAGTGATTTCCTGAAATCTTCGAGGGGAAAATGGCAGCCGATGGAGCCCTTGAATACATGGAACTGAGTGACGCCAGTTACCAAGAACGGGCTTTATTTTCCCATTGAAATTTTCAGAAAATTGCTTATAACATTTGAATAAGGTAACAGTTTGTTCCAAAACTTTAGCATCTGGTTCGAACGGCTAGCACCACATTTGGGCAAAGAAAGTATGAGCGTTCAATAATGCAGTGTTTACTTTTTAATAAAAAAAATAAAAAAAATTTTTTTTTTGGAGAGGGGTGGGTTATTTTTCAAAGTTCTGTCTTTATTTGTCATGTTTTGTGTGTGTCCTCTTGTGTTCTGCACATCTAAGAGTCATTTCTGTTGCAACTAGCAGTGAATGGCGTAATTTCTGGGATGGCCACCCCCGCGCTGACTGCACGCTCTAACGCCCATTCCCTTTCTTGCACAGTTCATCCAGAAGCCCCAGCGGGAGCCGACGCTGCAGCTGTACTGCACAGTGCAGGCGCAGCTGCTGCCCTACCTGCAGGCCATGATGGAGTACCTGCGCCAGGACCTGCACAACTTTCTCTACACCCCCAAGTACACCGACCCCAAGCCAGAGAACCACTTCAAGGTCGGGACGAGAACAGGCTTCTTAAATGTGACGGCATTTCCGAGCGAACCCCGTGCGTTTTTGTGTATGTCCTTCGGTTTGCGTCTGTTGCATACCTAGTTAAATAGGCCCTACGCAAAACTGCTCGGTGGTTTGACAACACTGAGAATGTCTTCATTTTAATGTGCGTGGTGTGGTGCATGTTAAAGACCCCAGGCTAGTGATTGTACTTCACTGGCTAAATTTCTCGTCTACAGCTAGGAGACAAGTCGCTTGTTAAGGCAGACTAAGTTCTAGGCTGTATATAAACGTGCACACACCCGAATTTTCTTTTAATGTTGCCAAACGTTGTTGGTATTAAAGCACAATGGAGGTGTAGGAGACAACCATACGTGCACCATGCGATGGCGTGCAGCTGTGTTTTCCACCTTCCGTCTATGAAATGTGGATGAACAGTTTAAACAAGCCACTGCAACTTCTGACGAAACGATTGGAGGCTTGTGTACGTTGGCGACAACCTCGTTGAACTAGTGGAGAGCATCCTACGCCTTCCCTGTGGAAGCTCACATACTGCGGTGCGGTTTGAATGCGATCATACGGTTCGGTCGCGAGCGTTAGTCGATCTGTCTTCCCTCGGTAGCTGAGGGCCCTTGGCACACATCCATTTCTCTAAGTGGGGGCAGAAAACAGCGAGCTAATGACGACACATTCTCCTCGCACAGCTCAAACCTTCCGCGTCAGCCTCTTGACCGTTGGCCCGTGCGATCACATCCAGATCGCTCCTGCCATTGTACTTGCATAATAGTAGTTTGTATGTGTGGAACACAAAATTATCAAAAATTCATGTCATTCCTCTCTAGACTTCGCGAGTGTCAATGTTTTCACAAGAGCGGGGGCTAGTCTGTCGAAAACTCGACCGCAATGTCACCCAGCACGGAGGAAATAGTGACTATTTTTTGTGCCCTTGCAACGCAGTAAGAGCCACTACTACACCTGCTCGTTCATCCATTTAGGTAGACTCCATGTAACTGTGAGAGCACAATGCCCCGCACACCGTTATAGACACTCCGCGTGCCTGCGAGCACCCAGTCTGGTGGACAAGCAACACGAAGCGATTTCACGCACTGCTTCTTCGGTACTTTCTGTCCGCTTCGTTTACTGCCGAGAAAGCAAACTTCGTGTCACAAAGCTTGTTTCCATCACTGTTTGTGATTCCGCGTTGTTTGCACGACGGTACGCAGTGGTTTACGGGCACTTTGCTGGCAGCGAACGTAACAGTCGCATGCGCACGCAGACCCGACCGGCGCTCTGCCTTTCGCCGACACTTAAAATGGTGGGCGAGCTTCTTTTTGCGTTCACCAGATGGTGCAGCTAATTTCGCATAAGGTCTATTATGCATACAGAGGGTTTTGCAAAGGGAGTATGTACACAGGTATATGCATACAGGGTGTAATGCTTCCAACGAAAATGATATGATTGGGGTCCCGTACTTTCAAGGTTTATTTATTTATTTATTTTTTTTTTTTTTTCGAATTGGGTGCATTTTTTGGGGCTCTAACATTGGCCACCGATTCGGTGTCGGACGAAAATTGGGGTTTATCGGGCATTATGTTTAGGAAAATAGGACGTGGGGCACGGGATTACCCCACCTGAGTGGAACGTCTGCGTGACCCAAAAGCCTCAGAAAACGTCTTCGTACCGAAGAAACAAAAAGGAAATGAGCTGAGGTGTGTGGTTCCGAAGCGAGGAGAAGCCTTGTGGACGGTTCATTGGGGGGCAGTGTTTGTGGTCAACACTAGATAAAGCTGTAAAAAATTTTCTTCCCATATGAAGCTTGAGTTTTTTTTGTTTGTTTTTTTATTCAAGGACGGCCCTGATATTTTGGGGGTCTATCGGTTTTCTCAGATTTTGATAAGAACGGCTCGGGGGCTAATTTTCGGGGGTTTATCGGTATTTATTGAAAAGGCGAAAATTTCAGATATAATATGTTAGCTCTTGAAAGGCAAGTACAGTTACCGAAGGTTTTATTATGTTGATATACATATCGTAAGAGAGAAACATTTGAATTGCAGTGAGAAGGAGACAGTTGGATCAGATAATTATGTGGATTATTTTTAGACGTAGTAGAAAACTTTGTTAATGCAGACGAAAAATATTCTCAGAATTTCAACACCAGCTCCTAAGCAGCGTAATAAGAAAACATTTCTGCAACTGCTTACTCTGCAATATCGGTGACAAACTTTTTTTTTTTACAGCGGAGCTGTTAAGGCTCGTTCACACTCTTGCAACCGAGTACGACCGAGAGCGACAAGACCAGTTTTTAAGCCTCTTACGGTGTCTTAGAACCAGCTCCGCAGCAGCGCATCCGGTCCTATGAGACATCGCAAGAGGCTTAAAAGCCGGTCTGGTCTCGCTCAGCCTTACTTGGTTGCATATGTGTGAACGGCGCTTAGTTCCCCAGTATCATGTTCATCAGCTAACAAATGATGACACGAAACTTAGGACAGCTACTGCCATCTAGGAACGACGACAGCAATCAGACAACCGGCTTGCCGGTTGTCTGGTTGCCGCCATCGCTCATGGATGGCGCAACCTTTCCAGCCTTTCCACTCTGGCTTGCCGACTTGCGGCCGGCCATTACTTCATTCCCACCATGGTACAGCTTCGCTGGTCTTCCTTCTTCACCAGAGTAGAAAGGCTGAAAGGTTTTACAGCGGAGCTGTTAAGGGCTAGTTCCCCCAGTTTGGTGTCCGGTACCAAACAAATGTCGACACAAAACTACGCAACACTCTGGACAGCTACCGCTATCCATGAGCGACGGTGGCAACAAGACAACCAATCTGGTTGCCGCCGTCACTCATAGATGGCGGCAACCTTTCCAGCCTTTCTGTCGAGGTGCGCGATGGTCCCGTGGTTGCTGTCGTTATTGTCCTTTCCCCGCGACGCCCAAGAGAGACATTGAAGCATTCATGATGGACGTCTTCGACTGGGTCGTGCTCAGCGACGACACGTCTGCCGTAGTGACCGGTGACTTTAACGTTGACATTGTACGCCAGGAGGGAAAGTGGTTCACTTCGTTTATGCCCGAGCACTTCGGGCTTGCGTGTGTGAACGAGCCTACGGTGCCCGCGACCAGGCATCGGACGTGTATAGACTTCGTCTTCACGAAGAACGTGCCTGCCGTCAGCGTACACCCTATGGCAGTGCACCAGAGCAATCACAAGGCCATGGTCGCTGGGGTCACAAAACAAATAACAACCCGGAATCGTCATATATATGTCCGATTCTTTAATCCTTCAAATAACCAATTGCCCAATAACACCTTATTTTTTACATTTATAGAATACTTGGATTCCCACCATGGTACCAGCTTCGCTTCTCTTCCTTCTCCACCAGAATGGAAATGCTGACAGTTTTTTTTTTGTTAAGACCTAGTGCAGTTAGACACGGATGATATGTATCCAGAATGGAATTCTGTTCAGGACCCTGTCAACGTTCATTATGTTTTGGGTTGTATTTAAATTCCCCATCAAGTGTCCTCAACGTGTTTTTTTCCTTTTTTTTGTGCAGCCCTACGTTGAGCACCCTGCTCACGCACTGTGCCACAAGGATGAAGATGTCTTCCTCTTCATCCGCTTCAAGCAGGGAACGCCGAGCAACGGTCAGACTTCTCTCATTTCCCCCAACGACAGGGGTTTTCTAATTTCGATTCCCCCAAGCCTGTATGGGTACTTTGCAACAAACGTGCAAAAAATAGTGCATCTGAAGTTATACCAGGAATCGGAGGACCGTGATACTGTTGGAGCAGTCAATAAAGTCGCTTCAAGCAACAGTAATGCTCACGAGGTGATGTAGGTACAATCTGAATAAATAGATGATGTGTGATATTTTTAAAAATTATTTAAGTTGAAATTTTGAGTTACGGAACTGACCATAATTACTAATTAATTTAATCGGAAACTTTTTCATCTGGTTCGGACCACTAACGCTTCATTTGGACGGAAAACAAGCGTTCGGTGACGCATAGTTTAATTTTGTGGCAAAAAAAACAAACTCTGTAGACTTTTTTTTGCGACACCCCGTAGATGAAAGTACAGTCAAATCTCGTTAATTCGAACTCTCTTTATTCAAACTTCTGGATAATTCAAACTAACATGCAAGCCCCATACTATGCGTCTCTATGGGAGGAAACTCCCAGTAATTCAAACTTTGCTTTATTCAAACAAATTTTCGGTCCCCCTCGAGTTTGAATTATTGAGATTCGACTGTAAACTGAATTTAAATCTAAAATAATGCACATCAGAAGATTTGCTTCAAGGTCCCTCCGTCGTGTTGCTTGTGCAGGTATTGCCTGCATCATCCTGTCGATGGTGGACGCCCAAGGCCGCCCCGTCCAGTTCCTCAGCTGCCCGCTTCCCAAGGCAGGGGCCTTCAGCGGCACCGAGGCCCCCACAGAGTTCAAAGACGTCTCATTCCTCTCGCACGAGCAGGTCAGCGAAGTCGGCGCCGACGGCACGCCCGGTGAGTTCTTGCCAGAGCCGGGAGGTTTGCCAGTCTCCATTGACTGCGTCACGTCCATTATGAGCCTCTCGTCTTTTTGAGGTAGGGTGCAAAAACAAAGAAGTTGCACAAGTGTCGTCAATACCGTCGTTAAACCTAAACTCTGGATTAGCTCTCGATACTGTTTGTCCCACTGAATACCGTATTTACTCGCATAATAAACACACTTTTTTTCACAAAAAATTTACATATTTGGGGGAGGGGGAGGGGGGGCTTTCATTACACAGGGTAAACTTTTGCGTTTACACACTTCGTGCAAATGTAATACCGTATTTACTCGCATAATTTGCGCATACGCGTAATTTGCGCACCCCTAACTTAAGGCCCAGATTTCCAGAAAAATAAAACTTGCTCGCGTATTTTGCGCGCGCCCTGCACCGTTCTGCGCCAGCTCGCCAGTTGTTTCCAGACGCCCCACGGGCGCGCAAGCTAAGCTGTGGAAATTCCGCGCGGCCGTGAGAGGAGTGAGAGAAAGGTGCGACTCTGCGCTTCTCTGCAAGAACTACAAGACGCGCGTGCGAGCCGCTGGCTCAATGCTGCGAGGTGGTTGGCCTGCAGGGGAGCATGACGTCACGCTGAGATTCTCGGATGTGGGAACTGTCATGTGGTGTGTGGTTGCGGTCGAGTGGCGCGAAGTCTGCGACGCCAAAGCGCGTGCTTTCCATTGTTCGGATTGTGTGGTTCAAGTTTGACGCCGTCAACGGTTTTCTCGACGATTGCTCTTGCGACGGGTTACAATAACTATACAGCGAAGTTGAAACTCCTCGTGATCAAGTTTGCTGAGGAAAATGGAAACCACGCAGCTGCCAGGCAGTTTAGGGTGAGTGAGAGCCACATACATTATTGGCGAAGACAGAAGTCGCAACTGGCAAGTGCAAGACTGGGAAGAACGGTCTGCGAGTGGGTTCTCAGCGTGGGACATGGTCTCTCCCAGCATTGCCGAGTTGAGCTTCAAGAAGGCGGGACTATCAAACGCGCTCGACGGAACTGAAGACGATGCTATTTGGAACGCGAGTGACGACGACATTCACGACAATCGCAGCCATGGTACCGAGTGCGAGAGCTCCACCAGCGACTCGGAGTAAACAAGGCAAATGCGTTTTGTAAAATAAAAAAAAAATAAAAAACTTTTGCCGTTTGTATACGTGTATTTTTATATACATTACAGCCTTTGCAGATGTGTTATTTGGGATGTGCTCGCGTAATTTGTGCACCCCCTTTCTGATGACAGATATTTTTAAAAAAAAGTGCTCAAATTATGCGAGTGAATACGGTATTAGGTGCCAATATGACACAACAAGGTATTGTGGCACGTCTCCAATGACGGAGGCGCACCCACGGCTGGTCGGGCACGCCACAATAACCGTGCTTTATAAATAGCAAACCCTTTTAGAGCGCTTTCGGGGTGCCTTTTGCTGAAGGAAAAGCGCCCTACAAAGCTCACTCAGCACGAAAAGCAACACAACCATTCTTAGGCGATGTATATTGCTAGTATCCGGCGGGCATGCTCAGGTATAATCCGCGACTATGCGTATAAGAGCTCCTACAAAGTCCAACCTTTGACCGCAGAAGTAGCTCGCATGGATCAAGTTTCGTTCACGGAGACAAGAACTCCTACGAAGTCTAACCTTCGACCCCCGAACCCCGCCCGCACGGATCAAGTTTCGTTCACGGAGAGGCTACCAGACACTCCCAGCCTACAGCAGAGCGTGCACCTCGCTGTGCTGTTCTGTTGCGGATTAATTTAACACATTTACCCGGAGTATGTGAAATTAGGCCTAACCACTTTCACGATTTCACTGTCCGAAAGTGGACCACAGAGAGCGGCTTGTTTGTTGACATCAATGCATCCGATAGGTGAAGAATGTCCGGGGCTCGGCAATCCCTCGACCCAAGCTTCGTCAAATGTGCACGACACTCGATTTCACGGTTGATCACCTCCGTAAGTACCGCAACTACGCACTTGCGGCCATTACGAGAGTAGCCTGACTTTGGGTTGACTTGGCTTGACTTGGCCTGACTTGGCCTGACTGCTTGACGGCAAAAGAAAACTGGCGTGGTGGCTTGCTTAATTAGACGCAATTTGAGACTCTAGGATTCGAAAATTGGAGATGCATTGATTACGGGAGGGAAAAAAAAGTCAAAATATTGATGCGCATTGTGGGGGGTGCGTTTATTATGCGAGGAAATACCGTAGTCGCAGATTTCGCCGACTTCAATATGTCCAGGTTTAGGACTCCGGACACACAATGGCTATCGGATTTGAAAGAAATGTAAAGAAATGGCCAACCATATTTTGATCTATCAATCAAAACCATCATTTGCAGAATTTAAAAATTATACTAATTTATTTAAAAATAAATTAGTATCTCTAATTAACTTATTCATTCCATATAGGTCCGTTAAAACAAATTCTTTGTCTCCATGGTTTAATGTAACACTTAAGCGCCTTAACAACAAAAAGAAACGTTTGTTTCGTTCTGCAAAGCTTTCTTGTAGTGACGCACGTTGGGAAATCTATCATGCAGCTGAGGATGCGTATAAACTAGCTATCAAGGACGCTAAACTAACATTTTTTAATGTGACCTTACCCTCCATGTTACTGACCAGTCCTAAACAGTTTTGGCGTATTATGAATAATAACAAAACGAACGATATATCGCTCACTAATAATGGTGTTGTTATTCCAAATGACCAGTGTGCCTCCATCTTAAATGACATTTTTGTAAAAGCGTTTTGTGTAGATGATGATTGCTCCCACCCTGTGTACCCTAATTATAACTTTTTGCCCATGGATCCTCTTGTGATTGACTATGACGGAATTTTAAATTTGATTGATAACTTAAAAACATCTTCGTCTTTTGGAGTAAACAATGTCACCTCCACACTCCTTAAGAATACTAAAAATTATGTTGCAATTTACCTTTTTAAGATTTTTGAGCAATCTCTTGCATCTGGTGTATTGCCTGAAGAGTGGAAAATAGGGAAGGTGATTCCACTCCATAAACAGGGCGATAAACAGAGTCCTCTTAACTATCGCCCCATTTCCTTAATCAGCACACCTTGTAAAATTTTAGAGCACATAATTTTCACTCATTTGGTTAACTACTTGGACTCTAATTCCTTCTTTTCTCCATCCCAACATGGTTTTCGTAAATCTCTTTCATGTGAGACCCAACTACTGACCTTCACTAATGATGTACTTTCCATACTTGACCGTGGATCCCAGATTGACTGTGTTTTTTTAGATTTCTGCAAAGCTTTCGACAAAGTTCCTCATAAACGTTTACTTTTTAAACTCAGTCAACTCAATCTCGATCCTAACGTGCTGTCCTGGATTACATGTTTTTTAGCTAATCGTTCTCAGTTCGTTCTTGCTAACAATGTAAATTCTTCTATCAAACCTGTTACTTCTGGTGTACCGCAAGGGTCTGTTTTGGGGCCCCTGTTGTTTTTAATTTACGTAAATGACTTACCACTGTGTGTATCATCATCGATTAGCCTCTTTGCTGATGATTGTGTAATTTATCGAGAAGTCACTAATACTACTGACATCGAACTTCTTCAAAATGACTTACAAGCTGTGGCTGATTGGTGTGATTTGTGGCAAATGTCCCTTAATACTAACAAATGTAAAGCGATGACTATCTCCCGTCGAATTACTATATCTCCTACTTACTCAATCGTTGAAATTCCTCTTGAAACTGTACCATGCTATAAGTACCTTGGGGTGCACATCACTTCTAACATGTCATGGAAAACTCATACTGACCACATTATCGCCAACGCTAACTCCATGCTTGGTTACCTAAAAAGAAACTTTAGGTTAGCCCCAGTGTCCCTAAAACTACTAATGTATAAAACCCTTGTCCGTTCCAAACTAGACTATGCAGCAGCAATCTGGGATCCTGGTCTCTCAACTCTCGTGACTGATCTTGAAGCCCTACAGAATCGCGGTGCCCGTTTTATATTTACTAACTATCATCGCACATCTAGTGTCTCAACTATGAAAACTAATTTATCACTTCCTGCTCTTTCATTACGCCGGAAAATATCTCGTTTGTGTCTTTTTTATAAAATTTATCATTCCAATACTTCGCTAAAAAACAAACTAATGTTAAATCCTGTTTTCATCTCGCCGCGCGTAGATCATCAATTTAAAGTCGGAATTCCTCATTGCATTACCTCAGCCTATTATAACTCTTATTCCAAGGACATCTTCAGAGTGGAATCGCCTTCCCGCGCAATTAGTAAACATACCATCCTTTGACTTGTTTAAAAATGCGTTGACTACTTACCTATGTTAATATTTCTCTTTGTTTGTTTGCCTTGTTTTATACATTTCTTAATTTGCTTGCACATTTTTTTTTTTTTTTTTACATTTTTCGTGCTTGGCTTTTAGTGTTTGTATATTGTTTGTGTTCCAAATTTGTCTTGTACCACTCCCCTCTGTAATGCCCCAGGGCCTTGAGGGTACTTAAATAAATAAATAAATAAATAAATTGAGATGTACGAGAAACGGTGTGCTTTTATAACGTTTTATTATTTGTACCCTCCGATTAACCATGCAACGCCGCGTAATTTGACGTCGTGCAATGTGGTCATGGGACGTCTTGGTTTTAAATTACTTACGGTGTCAAGTAACGTCACATCACAGGCACAGTGTAGTGCGACACCGTGGCATCGTGTGGTACAGTCATGCGACCGTGCCTCCAGGCGCGTCCTGCTCATGGGGATGCACTGCGGCCTTTGTTGCGCGGCCACAGGTCCGATGGCGATGATCCGCTTCCAGCTGTGGTGCCTGGGTAAAGACTATGTGGACCAGCTGGTCCGCAGGATGCAGAGCGCGGTGCAGCATGCCTACTGGGACGTGCTCATGGAGTACCAGTTGCTCACCTGCCCCGTGTTCCAGGAGCCCCACGACGAACCCGCCTGCTTCAGCGAACCCCCGACGCCTGTCAAAGGTAACAGGTGCTGCGAGGTTCACGTGAAACGCGACGGCATTTGCCGGGCCAGCTCTGGCGCTTCCGTGTCCAAGCCTGGGAAATAGCATCGATGGTGTGTGCAGCGCAGAGTGTGTAGTCGCCGATTGCATGTGGACTTTGGTGTGGTGTCACGTAACATTATTAAGTCGGGTGACGCCATACGTCATGTGACACTGATGTCACGTGACATAGTCTGACACTGCGATGTTACGTACCACAGTGAGGTCGCATGGCACTGTTACAGTGCAATCCACTTATAACGATAGTGAGAAAACCCGAAATTTAAATTGTTATAACCGATTATCGTTGTATCTGGACCAGAAACTGATCATTTCCAGTCTAGAAGCTCTAGAAACTGATCGTTATGGGTGGTACATTGTTCTATGTGATATCGTTATAAGTGGATTGCACTGTATAACCCGACACTGCGAGGTCATGTGAAGTAACGTCACTTGAGGTCTTTTCGCAACTTTGTGACGTGACATAGTGACATCACATGACGTCATGGTTAGTTTGCAGTGTGATTGTGCATATTCTGTTTGCAACAAAGCGTGCAACGCTGTCGCTGCAGTTCATTTGCAAAACATGATATAAAACCTTTTCTCTTTTTTTTACTTTTTGCACAGTGTGATGTTTAAATATCTTGAGCTGAATTTTGTTCTTGTCTTTCTCCGCTTTGGCACATTTGGCATGCAGTGCGGCGGACGGGTCGTGTGGTGGCAGAGCAGGTACGGGACAAGCCGTTCCTTTTTGGGATGTTTGCATCGCGGACAAAGGAGATGTCGTCGTCGGTGCCGGACATGACTGAGAGGATCAAGTCGCCCAAGGAAACGTCCACCGAGTTCAATGTGAGTGCCCCCTTTTCTATTGGCACGATGTGCCAACCTTCATCTTTTGGCTCATCCAGCTTTGCCTGCATCTTTTGCCATAGCTAGACCATTTAGAGTGGGAGCTCTTTAAGTGAAACATGGAAGTACCAGCAAAACTGTTTCAATTAGCAGAAGTTCTCAGCAGAAATAAGAGAGAATGTGCAGCTGAACCGGTGAACTTCCACTTGGCACACACAAAGGTCTCGAAACCTTTGTATGTACCTGTCTGTATGTGTGTATTGTCCCCCGTTTTGTTCCTAGGTCTTGGCTTTTCAAGACGTAGAAGACTACTTTGAAGACATGGGAAATCCAACATGGATTTTGCCATTTTTCCTACATCAAAACTTCCGCATTGGAGTGCCCAAAGTTTCTGTCTGCTAGCGGCTCGGCTCCTTTCTGTTGCATGTTTTGGACGCTAGGCACCATGAAGTTCTGATGCCACGGTTGTCAGTAAACTGCTGTTCCTGTAGTCACACACGTTTTCACCCCGTCTTACAGTTCTCGGATGCACTGTTCAACGAAGCGGGGCCTTCGGTGCCAACAACGATGCACCTGAGCCCGGGGAGGTCGCTGGACGCAGAGTCTGCGCCGATGGACGACTGGGCCACCGCTGGCGCCAAGAAGCTGAATCCCGCTTTCCATCAGGCCGTTCGCTCGTTCTTGGAGGGCGGCGTCGCAGTCGGCGAGTTTCCCGTCTTCTGCTCTTTTTCTCCGGCAAACCATATCCCACAAAATTCTGTCGTAATGCCAAAACGTTGGCCATGTCGGATTTTAAGTAGAAGTAACCATGTGCACCGCACCTTTAGACAGAAGTTTTAGACAGTGGGGTGAAGCTCTAGGTGAGAAATTTGGTCAATGTATCATTGTGCGGTCGTGAAAGATCCCAGGCTAGCAGTGGTGCTGCACTGGCTAAATTTCTCATCTACAACATAGACACCAGATGCCAGCTGGGGCTGATTAACTTCACCCTGTACAAACATTTGCAATAAATCCCCGAAGCATGTCTTGACCACATCAAATTGGGATCTGTAGGTAGTTGAATGCTAATTGGGAAGAGATTCGAAAATGGGTTTAGCCGATCTGAAAGTTCACTTAAAACTTTCATTGAATTTGAGCATCCGATGTTGCTGTCTCAGTGGCTCTAAAGCAAAGCGTCAGCCTATGAATCAGCAGAAACTGGCCGAGGTGCCTGTATTCAGTTTGGGGCAATGTGGGTGCCGTGCAACCAGAATTTCGGTTCTGCACTCTCATATCTCTTTTTTCTCAAAGGGGTAGCTTGGTGGTGAAATATTGAGAGGGTAGCTTTGTCTCTGGAGCATACTTTAACCAATTTTTAAGTGTGACGGGTTGTCTTAATACGAGGGGATTCTCGTTTTTATCAGGCGTTCCGAGCCTCTCCGTTCACCCGTGCACGGTGAAGGCTCGTCGGGCGATACCACTGGTCCTCAAGGAGCTCCAGCACGGGCTCAAGAACCTGGCGCCCGAGATCTCGCTTGCCATGTTTGCGGAGGAAAACTGCAAGGGAAGGCGCATCAGCCGGCACCCGGAGTTCATCAACTTCAACCCGTTGAACAAGCTGAGCATGGTAATTGCGGCTTGAGTGTTTTGTGCAATTTGAACATTTGCTCTTCGAGTGTGGTCTTGTATGTGGGCAACGCGAGGCTTGCCCAATTAAGTGGGAAAACTGAACTTGACGCTAGAAGCAAGAGCCGTTCACGTTTAAGCACTTCCGGCATTGGCTTCATATTTTGCTTATGCCTTTCCTTGTTGTCTTCATTCTTTTCGTGTTCCCTCTATCATCTGTGAACTCAGAAAGGGTGCGGAGGAAAACAATCAATACAGGTTTTCAAAAGAGATATGTCACATGTGTTGATTGCAGTGTGTTACTTTTTTTTAACGTTGTGTTTCAGTGTATTCCCCTGTCACAGTGTGTTCCAGTGCTGATTAGTGTTTTCATGTATTGCAAGTTCTCTGCAGGTTGGGGAGACCCATGCCCAAGTTTCATCCACATTAACCCCTATAAATGCTGAATTTTTTTACAGCGGAGCTGTTAAGGGCTAGTTTCCCTAGTATCGTCAGCAAATAAATGATGGCACGAAACTCTGGACAGCTACCGCCATCTATGAGCAACGGCGGCAACCAGACAACCGGCTTGTCAGTTGTCTGGTTACTGCTGGTGCTCATAGATGGCGCAACCTTTCCAGCCTTTCCACTCTGGCTTGCCAACTCGCAGCCGGCCATTACTTCATTCCCACTATAGTACAGCTTCGCCGGTCTTTCTTCTTCTCTAAAAAAAAAAAAAGGCTGAAAGCTCTTTTTTTTTTTTTTTTATTGACATTGAGAAGTGTCATTTAAAAATGTTGAATCTCTGGAGGAAAAATTAACCGTGGAAAACGAGCTCTAATTTGAAGAAAAGTAAACCCTAGAAACATGTAGCCATACTTATAGATCAAGGGCCGAGTCGGCTGCTGACGATGTTGTAACTTCCAGTTTCCCGAGAAGCACGTGGAAGGCGTGCCCCCAGGCAGCAGCCAGCGCTTCATCGTGGTTGGCCGAGACGTCGCCCAATGGCAAGCCTTCATGGGGGTGGCCAGCCTCTCCGCCTTCTTGGAGACCTCTCGCGTCACCAAGAGTAAGTCTGGTTTCTGACTGCTTCGTCGGTTTGGAAAGGCTAGGTGTAGGCTCGGTACTAAACATAGTGAAATGTAGCTTCGAGACTTTGGCGAGAGGTAGATAAAAGGAACCTTACTTGAAACCTTAAATCGCTGCTGTCACTACGCTGATTCTCGACGAAATGCATTAGCATATTTACTGCAAAGGTTCCGACTCGGCGAAGAATGGGAATTATAACCTCGCAACGGTCCGGATACTGTTGTCTTCGGAGAGCCAGTCTGTTCTCCCGGGCGTCGGCAGTTTCGGATGCAGCCACCACAGCTTCCCTCAATCGCCGCCTACGGTCCGCTACTGTTGTCTTCGAAGAGCCAGTGTTTTCTCCTGGGCGTCGGTGGTTTCGTGCAAACGACGTCGTCGCTGCACCTCAGTTTTACATTGTCGCGACGTTGTGCTTGTCGCGACGTTGTGCGTACTGGGGAAACGAAACCATGTGCCCACGCACCATCGTAAGAACTGTACGTGTCAACAGCGGCACGTCATTGGAAGCGTGTGATAAGACTCTCCCTCTTATGTAAGAGGGAAAGTGAATGTAACGAGCGAACGAACGGTGCAAAAGAGCATGGCTGAAACCGCACCGTGGCCTCGCGACACCAGTCCAGACCAAAGACATGCACCAAAGCAATAAATGCCAACGCATTTAATTCTCGTTCGCTCGACAATGTTGACAAAGATTTGGGGTCCCACAAGCCACACCGGCGAACAGCGAGACACTAGCACAAACCACACTCCATGCATGGTTTGTGCTAGTTTTTTTGTTTTTTTTTACTATTGTGCACCACAGACACTAGCCAGGGCAAAACCGAGCGCACCGCACGGGCACTACCTTATGTGGCTCTTGCACCATCCATAATGTCAGTGGGACAAGCGGAGTGCCGTCACAACCACCATGCATCACTGGAGGCAATGGGGAAGCCACAGCTGCACAACTTTCCCTGGTCAGGGGAAATTGCAAAGGAGTTGGTTCCTCTGTACTATCATTTACCCTGGCATAGCCTTCTTGAGAGAGGTGCCAAAATGAAGACTCAGAATGCAAATGAGTCATTCGATGCTCGGGACTAGAGAAGGTGCATGAAGACGAATTTGGTGTCTCAAAGAACGGTAGAAACGGCTGTTCTACTCGCATTGCTCAAGTTCATCTTGGTTCCTAATGGCTTTGAGGGGATCTTTACGAAATGGGGATAGAGCTTAGGAGTGACCAGATGCAGTATTTTGATATGGACGTGGAATCCAATGTTGCAAAAGCGAAGCCGACAGCGCATAGCAACTAATAGCAACATAGCAGAAGGCACATGGCATAGTCTTCCATGTTGCCCGCAAACAGGATGCTGCAGGCAGCCTTCAAGTGACAAGAACCAGGCAGCTGAAGGACAGATCTATTATGTTGGGGCCTTTTAAAAAATGCAGATTGTGAGAAATTAATGAAGTAAAAGGTCTTAATGTTCAAATCTATTTTTCTCAGTTTCACTTTTTTGCTACGAACTTCGCACAAAGGTTTCGCTCGACTGTAAAACTATTTCTATGCCTTGTTCGAGGCGTTTATGAACTGAAATTTTGTTGTGGAATCGGGCTTTCTACTTTTTTTTACATTAAAGGGCCCCTAAAAAGAAAAATAATGATTGTTTATACAGTCTGGTTGGGACACGAAAAAAAAAAAAAAAAAAATAAAGTTTACGCAAAAAAAAAAAAAAAATTTTTAAGGCAATATTGATGGCGAAAGATTTATTTGAAATTCTGCGTGCAAATTCCATGACGCCACGGGTAGGGGTGTGCGAATACCAAATAGTAGTTTTCTAATTGAATTAAGAAAAAAAAGCCGAATATCGAATTGAATATCGAATAGTGATTTTATTTGTAAGAAATTTTCGAAGTGTGCTGCGAATAAGATTGTTACATGTGCAGAGTAAGTGCCTGGTGCAGAATATGCATCTTGTATGGAACAAAAGCTAAAACGTAAAAAAGTTCTTGTGAAAAAAAAAAAAAAAAAAAAGCAGTTGCTGTTGGACGTTGGGTGCTAAAGATCCAATTTTATGTCGCAAACGTAATCTGTCTACCCTAAACGTCACAAAAAAAACCAAAGTTACAGCCACGCATGCCTTTTTTTCTCGTTAAAAGCACAACCTAACACCGTAATATCTCAGAAGATGGGCATTTTGCGACATTTGGTCTCCATTTTAAGGAAGAAAAAGGGCACCGGTCATTTTATTTCACATAAAGAAACAGGGGCAGTAGAGTGAAGAGGTTCCGAGCTGGCACCGGGACACAGTGCGGAGCGCAAGTTTGTCTGCTTCTTGCACACGGTTTGCAGTGATGTCATAATGCCGAGCTCCGATTGGCTCCAGTAAACGTATAGTGGGTGGACCTCAATGCTAGCTGCCTCGAGGTCTACCCACTATCCATCCATTTGGAACCAATCGGAACTTGGCGTTCCGACGTCACTGCAACCCCCGTTCAAGAAGCAGACGACTTGCGCTTCGCACAGATATAATAATACATTCCTATTGTGCCGCCTTCACATTCTCTGCTCAGGCCACAAGTCGACGCAGATGTTTGAGCCGCACCTGCTGTCGATGCCAAACCTCCTGGACGTGCCGGCCGTCAGCCGGACGCCCGGCACGCCGTCGTCGGCGCCGTCATCTGCGCCGCCCGTACACGGCGCTCCTCCGGAAAAAGCAAAAACGCCGGGAGCGGAGACGAAAGTGCCCGCCCTCATTCCGCGCCAACGCCTGCTCTACCTCATCGTCGAGGATAAGACGGTGGGCCTTTCTCTCGGTTGTTTTTAAATTCCTGGCATTTATAGGGCCAGCTTTTGCACGAATTTGTTTCGTCGTATGTCCGACCGCAGTCGAAAGCACGAGCATGTGCGACCACGGGCGCTCGTACTGAAAGCGCAAGTGCCTCGGTCTTCCCTGTAGACAATTGATTTAGCCAGAATTGCAAGCATATGGAGACACGACAAACACCGTGACGTGCTTCTGACGCCGTTGGATTGGTCCGGTCAACTTGTAGCATTGGCAGCTAAACGAAGTATCGTGCTTTTGTGTCTGATCCCAGGATTCCTGGTGCAAAGAACTTTCTCGGTGTGCGCTCGGCAGCGGCGAAGTACGAGTACTATGGGGTCTTCTGCTTACGAGTTTTGTGCTCTAAAGAATCTTCTAAATGCTAACGGGTGAAACCGCGGCCTGTTGCAAACCTTACATACTGCACTGAACGGATAGTCCGTGAATTGGCGCTTGAACTGCCGGTCGCCCGCCGCGTAATAGAAACTGGCTTCCCTCACCCCTCCCTCTTCACCTTGCATACCTGCCACTGTTGCTCCTGCGCCACTTGGGTGGTGCACAAAGCCCACGAGCAAGAGCCTTTATAGGATGTGATATGCATTCCAACTTTGAGAAACCCTTGCCTGAAGTAGTGCTGAAAGGAACAGGACAAAAGAGAGGAACACGGGACAAGCGCGCGCTGTTCCTTTCTTTTCTTTGTTTCTTTCTTTTGCCCCGTACCTTTGACCCATGTTGTTTACGGTGATAGCTGTTATGGGCTCATCCCGCCACCAGAAATGTTGTCCGTTGTAGTTGTAGTCATTGATGTCGTAATTGTAGTTGTACTGTCGAGACCGGTTATAACGAAGTCAACGGGAATCGGAAATCACTTCGCTATACCCGCTATTTCGTTATAACCGACTTCGGTCATAACCAAGTGCAAAAAGGAGTGGGGAATCGTGACCGCTTCGCTGTAACCGCTATTTCCTTATAACCGACTTCGTTATAACCGGCCTCGACAGTACAGTGGACTCCTCTTAAACGGAACTCGAAGGGACAGAAAAGTTTGTTCCGTTTATCAGAAGTTTCATTTAAGCAAAGCACATAAAATGAGTGAAATATGACTTTATTTCACAAGCATGATGTCCAGCTAATGTAGCTGACTAGAAAAAAGAGGTAATGGTAGTTTGTTTTGCATTTTGTAATCGCTTTTTGACGAAGTAGGTGTGCATGCCTTGGAGGTTGCGCAGAAATTCCGCACAGCCTTCAGATTCAAAGTAGCGCTGCAAGAGAGCAACAGCCTCCAGCCTTTTCTTCGAGGATGGGGCCGCTGATCGGGAAATTAGCACTTCGCGCGCGCTTAAACCAGAGAAAAAGGACGTTCTCTATTTCCTCAAAAGGCGTCTTTCGCATCCTCCTTCGGTCGGTGGCAAAGCTTCCGCGCTTTACAGCGTCTTGAATCTTTTCTTTGTCCTTTGATATCCTTGAGAGTGTAGACTTCGGGATATCGAACTTCCTTGCGATCTCCGTCTTCGAGAGGTCACCACGATCCAGCTCTTGAAGGATCTTCATTTTCGTAGCAAGCGAGATCGCTTGGTGCGGCCGCTTTTTTACCGCTTCCATCACAACACGGCAAGCGGACGCTGGTTTGCGTACTCGATGGTAAACGTGACGCGCAACAGACGAGGCGCTAACCCTAATGGCGGTAGAAAGACTGGATTGGATTGCCTTAATATAATGGCTTGGATGGATGGATGAATGGCTGTACCCTTTGTAACGAGCGGCACCTCGCGTCACCTAGCCTAACATTTCGTCACTTTTTTTTTTTTATAATAATATTTGTATAAATTTTGTTCTAACACAACCTCTTTCCCTTTAAAGTGTCCTCAGTCTTGGCTATGGCGTACTCCATGGTTGTGAGACTGCTGTAGCAATTTCCGATGTCCGCGGTCGCCATGGGTAGTTTCGGTTTCGGTCCCGTTTAACCGAAGTAAGCAAAAAGGGGGGTTCCGATTACCCGAAGAATTTATCATTAAATACATAGGAAACCAACCGAAACAACCTTTAGAGTTCCGTTTATCCGAATTTTCCGTTTAAGCGAGTTTCGTTTAATGGGAGTCCACTGTAGTTGTCGTAATGGAGCGTAGGGCGACCGTTGTTGACGTTGACAAATCCTTAAAAAGACTGCCCGCTGCCTTCGGGATTCAATCCTAAATCTGC